CGCTAAGTTTCCGCTCAACATGTGTCTGAGCTTGCCTGCCCCTCAGTTCATTCTTCTGGAAGCCACCTAATTGCCTGTCAATACTGTGCTTTGACTGCCTTGTCCAATCCCATACTGGACTGAAATCATAGTGCTTGACTGTTTCCCTGCCTCTGGGATTTATCCCTTTAATTGCCTAGTGTCAAGTCTGCCCGGCTAGAGCAAGGCAACCCTCACCAGAGCCCACAAAGTGCTTGCTGCTATGCTGGTAGCCCCTCACTTGCATGGCAGGAATTTAGAAGCTGCTATTCAACATTTTCTGTGTGGTTTTTGACTGCCCAGCACAGCATATTAGAGAAACTAACATGATGGTCTCCGTCTTTTAAGTGTCCTTCATTCTCCTGGAGCTACGCTCTATCGGGCATTCCTGGAACTGGTGGAAATGTTAAGGTAGTACTCTGGCCAGTAGGCCCTGCATAGACATTGGGTCCAACAGGTGCTTGGTGGAGCTGTTTCTCCCAACCTGGAACCTGGAATCTCCAGGCACACCCGTACCTGCCAGGCAAGTGCAACAACAGAGGGTATCATCGTGGCTGAAGGGGTTGCTACCAAATCCCCGTGTGTAGCACATACCCAAAAGACCCTGAAAAGTAACTTTGGATAGGCTTAGATCCAGGAAGACTGAAGAAGTAGTAAGTATTTATTACCACTTCTTCTGCTGAATCAAGAAAACCATCAATACTGTGATAGCACTACCCATGAATGCAGAGTTGAACCCTGCAGACTAGAGACAGCATCATCGTCACAGTATTTTGTTTGAAGGAGAAAAATGAGGAGACCTTTTGGAAAAATTAAGAAATGTAATGTTTCATGGGATTGTATCTGTGTTTGCAAAAGCTAATTCTATAGTTAATGATGCAGGCCATGAAGAAAAATAATCAGTAGCACTTTGCTGAGAGGTCCCACTGGGGGCCAGGTCTGAAGGCTGTGTTCTGCTTTTGCTGGTTCAGACTTTATGCTGGGCAATGCAAACAGATTATTCTGTGTCTGGCTTTGAAATGCAAATATCTGCATCCCATACAGAGTGAATTGTACAGTATGCTGGGGTGGGCTATAAGCAGCACAAGTTCCAGATTTTGATGGGCCCTTGAGCAAGATGCTAGGAAGCACTGCCAGGCTGAAAGCATCTGTAGGAAGAGTCCAGATGAATTTGGACTAGTCTGAAAAGGTAAAAGGCTCTTGGCTGCCTCCTACATTTAATTAGGCAAATTAAGTGAGATAATGGGCAGTGCTGGCTCTGGGCTTTTAAAGGCCCTTGAGTAAGCCCCCTCAACCAGCCCCTTCCTTCAATGACTCTATTTCAGGGGTCTCAAACTCGTGGCCCGTGGGCCAATTGCCGGGATGGGTGGGGCACGGGGGAGGGGCCCTGCAGCCTTCAAAGCGCCGGTGGCGCCCGGGCCGGCCTCCGGATGAGCGGCCCACCACCACTGCGGCGGTGGAATACTTGATGCGGCCCAGCCTCACCCAGACTCTACTTCCAGCGGCCCCCAGGTAAGTTGAGTTTGAGACCCCTGCTCTATTTTCTTGCCATCATCGCCATCAGCAGCTGTTGCCGCTCATCCTCTTTCTCATCATTGCTTCCACTTGCTTGACAGGCAGAGAGCCAGTGAGCAAGCCGGTGGTGCCCTCTACTGCTGCTTCTTTTCCCACCAACATTATCTGGGCTAGAGGAACAGGCAGGCTGCAATCACAAGAGGACATACAGCAGCTCCAGGGGGCCTTTCTCAGCAGGTGTGGTCATGCCAGTGTGGTCATGAAATAGCTTTGTAAGATATTCACTGTCAGGCCTTTTTATCAAGTAGCAAAAGACCGTAACAGAAATGCCTTTGGTTTGCAGTCCTGATGATCATTTTGCAGCTAAAAAAATATCAAATAGCATAAGAGCTGTAGCAGCTGGACTCTGAGAATACCCACCAAAGAAAAAATGTTTTAGTACTTAGTGCAGATAGCAAAGATGAAGGTGCTTAAAAAAATGGTTTTGCCATCCTGCCCAATTACTTCTGAAAAAGAAAGAAATGTCTTTAGTATTTTGATGCCTGATTATCTCATTGGAAGAGGAGCAATTCATGGAAACATGATTTCTCAAGTGGGAGATGGCTTATGTAGCATTATACTTATAAACATGTTTGCACCTTCCAAACAAGAGTGCAGATGAAGGAAGCATATTTCACTGTCGCCATGCAATTCATAATCTGACAATTTATTTGCATGTAGATTAAGAAAGAAAGAGCACTTGTGTTTGTTTATTAGGTGGTACTTCTGCATTTACTTTCTTTATTCCATTAAGAAATTGGAGATCATTATTCACAATTCTGAAAGACTCATTTTTCTTCCAGTTAGAGCAGGCAAAGAGAGTGTGCATACAGTAAGAATGCGCACGAGATTTAGCCAGAGCAGAATGGGGCCTCAACAGTGTGGTTCTGTTGGATTTTGAGGTGAAGTGAAATGCGCTCCAAAGAGACCAGAATTGCAGTATTGAGGCTTTGCTACTGACTCATTTTTTAATATGATACATGGCCACAGACTTTCTGTTTCCAAATTGAGTGTTGTTTCTCTAAACGCTGTGCAGAGGGGGGGAGTGCAGGGGGAAGACTGGCAGGTCCATGTTCTAATCCTAGAGCATGTTTTATCGTGGGCTCCAATCAAACTCAAATAGCACTAGCAGAGCTCTGTCCAATCATTCTTCATCCACGGTGGAAGCTCAGTGCCCAGCCTGTGCATAGGGTTTCTGCAAGGCTTATGCACAAACACTTGCACAACCATGCTCGTGCACATGGAACTTGAACTGGATTCTGCTCTTGCACGTAATTTGGAACCTAGTTTCTGCAACTGCAATGGTATTTGCACTCATGGAATGGCAGGGCTGGATGATGCAGCCCTAGATTTGAATCCTGCATTACAATCATTCTACCAAATTTCACAACACTCTTCCTATTTGGGAAAAAAATGACTTGAGCATTCCAGGGAGGGGACTCAGTTCTCACACATTACAGTCTGTTCAGATCTGCAGTTTGAAAGTTACCTAGTGAAGATTCTCAGAGAGAGCAACAGAGACAGCCCGACTCTTAGGAGGGGCAGGACATCTCCGAATGGTGGAGATGGTGGCTGGAAGGGTTTCCTTGACCTGTCAGGCAGTCAGGCAAAATGAGTGGACCAATGAAGGAGTGGCCAGTGTTCCTTCCTTCTGTCCAGTCCTCAAGCAGCGTGAGCCACCCTCACAGTGGAGTCAGAATATTTCTGGCAGGGAGGGAAAGATGGGATGTTTCAGCTTGGGTTCAACTATTCACCCAAGGAGATGCTTCTTCCACATCTCCAGGAGGATGATACTTTGATGTAGACTGTGCTGCAACTGGTTGTGCTCTGATAAAAGGATTGTTACTTCTGAGTGCTTGTCTAAGTCTGCTGCAGAGGAAAAGATGGAGGGAGAGACCTGCTCACGATGAACATAAGGTCATGTCCATGCGGAGAATGGTTACATCAACTGACTCTGGCTGGTGCAGATGTGTGCGAATGTCATTCATTTTGTTTTTGCGGTTTTCAAAAAGCTGAATTTTGGAAAAAGTGAAATGGACAGATTCACCCATCCCTAAAGTCATAAATGGTTTTCAAGGCTCCTTTTCCCTGTAATTTATTCTTCTGAAACTGCAGATTTCTTACGTGGAGACACATCTGCACATTTCCTCCCTAAATCTGGAACACTAAATCTGAAATCAGCCTATTGCACCATATCCTTCCTGCCTGTCTTAAGTTTTTAGTCTAATGTTCCACAAAGAACACGGGGCACAGTATTATTTGGAGACTCAAAATGTCAGGACTGTCCTTGCCTCCCCTTGTTTCTTCTCAAGGTTAAACATGCCTAATTCTCTCAAACATTTCTCATAGGATTTGGTTTTCAAACCCATCACCATCTAGCCTCTGGACATGTCACATGCCATATATATTAAATTAGATCACATTAAAAGAGGAAGATGGTTGTCCTGAATATGTTGTGAAGATGAAATGTGGGTAGGACATGTATGCCACCCTGAGCTCTCTGGAGAAATGGCAAGAAGCAAATGCAAGGAGCAAGTACATATTCCTGTAACCGCAATCTCATCACACATGGGGTAGCACTTGTATCATAACTCAGCAATGGAGCACATCCTCTCAGGGAAGAAGCCTCACTGGACCTCTAGCTGACTCTTGCTTGGGTAGCAAATACTTTTGCTTCTAAGTCGCTGCCTATTGGAGAAGACAATGCTAGACAATGTTCATAGGGCAACTCCTTACATTCATATCCTTCCTATCTTGAATTGATTTTCTTCTGTCCCTCTACATAACCTTAAAATAAGCAGTACAGACATTGATGCACACTGTAGCATACTCCAAAGACTTGGTCACATCCACACTCCTAGATCATTGCTGTGGGTTCTTTACATTGCCCAGCTAGTGGATTAATATCAAGGTCCTGTGCTTTACTGAGGAACCCCCACCATTATTATATTTTTCTCTTGTCTTTGTCAAAGACCATGCATTAATACACTTTAAGATTTTCTAGTCCACGTCTGAAACCATTATTATGTCCCCTCCATTGTCATGGTTTTGTCCGCACCCTCAGTAATGAGAAACACTCAGCAAGACAACTGCTCTATATACATGAACATCACAAAAAGACAACAACCTTCACATAATGGCATGTGGTTGTTATATCGGAAGGTACTCATCACACATACAAAGCTACAATCTCTAGGCAGTAGATGCTGGGAGAAATATAGCAATCAAGACTCATCTACTTCCAGCCTGAACTTGTGTATGCTTACTCAAAAGAAAAGTCTGCTCAATTCAGTGGGACTTACTCCCAACTAAGTATGCATAGGAACACAGTCGGAGATTTCTTATGAAGAGAGCTGATGTAACATTATCAAAGTTATAGACTTCTTCACTGGTAACAATGACTAAAGTATCAGTGATAAGGTTCTTACCCGCTGAAGTTGGCTCTTCATCTAGAGCTGAGAAAGAAAAAAAGAAAGAAAGTTAAAATGTGCTGAAGGAACTCAACATTCAAATGATCAGTGCTCTATTTTATAAATTGCTAGCATTTTGAATCTATAATTTGTATTTATTACAACCATTTATATCCCATCCTTCCGCCAAGCACTCAGTACAGCTTACAAAATATAAAAGTACAATGTTAAACCTCAATTATTAAAAACAATGTAAAACAACACATCATGAACTTAAGAAAAAGGAGGAAAAGAATAGAAAATGTGACTGTTTTGATTACCAAACCAAAGGTGCAATGTTTGTTCTATGAAAATGCCTGAGTATATTGAAAAATAACTAATTGCTCTTTTAAAGATTAAGTTGCGATTGTAAACACCTTCATTAGATAGGGAGTTACTTCTGAGCAAACATGTTCAAGAGTGTGTGGTCAGTTCAAAATGCAATTTGATTGCTCCTTGACCATGCTGGCTCCTGGCTGTAGGGGGCCCTTGCACAAGACTGAAAGCTGTCCCTCAGTGAATATGCCCTTTCACCACCAGTGATACCACTTTCTAATTTTTCCACTTGCTGGGTTCATGAGCAGAGAGCAACTTGGTTCCCATGTCCCAACAAGCAACCCTGTGTGAATACCATGGGTCATGGCTTTTTAGCTCAATGCTCCTGACAGACAATCGGGCTCATTGTGGAAACTCTCCACCCTTCCACCATCTCCATCCCTCTCAGTCTTCCAGGCAATATCCCAGGACACATGAGAGCCAGTGTGGGGTAGTGGGAGAGCCAATGTGGGGTAGTGGTGAAGAGCATGGGACTGGGACTCTGACAATCTGGGTTTGAGTCCCCAGTCAGCCATGGAGCCAACTGGGTGACTCTGGGCCAGTCACAGACTCTCAGCCCAACCTACTTCACAGGGTTGTTGTTGTGGGGATGAGATGGAGGAGGAGATGTAAGCTGCCTTGAGCCCTTTGCAGGAAAAAGGCAGGATATAAATCAATCACTCAATCACTCAATCACTCACTCACTCATTTTGGGGGAATGAGGCTCCTTTCTTCAACAAGTGCAATTGCGAGCCAAGCTTAGCTCACTACAGCACTACTCAGCCAATTCCTCTTCTACCTTTCCATACATGACAAAGGAGTGAAAAACAGCTGATCAGCAATGCCTGCTTGGGGACTGTACCACTGGGGCAGCTGATTCTCCTGCTGCCACATTCTCATATCTTCTTTAGAAAGAGGCATCCCCAACCCAGAGAAATCTTGCAAGCAGCAGGAACAAAAGAGGAAGTGGGGCTTACCCCCGCCTTTCCTGCTCGCGCCTGCCATTCAGGCATCCCCAGCCTGGCAGCCACCTGAGCACTCTTCCCATGGGTGGCAGTGATGAAGGGGAAGGTGGGACTCCTCCCGAGTCATGCCCTTCTGCCAGAGAGGTGTCCCCAAGTCAGGCACTGCAACCCAGCTGATTCTCACCCTTCCTTCTGGTGCATGCAGAGGGGGCAGCAGAGGAACCAGCTGAGTTCTCCTGCTTCTTTCCCAGTCCAGCCAGCTGGTCACCTGCTCCAGCCCCAGAGAAGATCTTTAGGGAAGGAGGTGGACAGAGCGGGGACTCCTTGAAGAGCTCCACTGAAGGGCGCCTGTCAGAGGTGTGCTCTGGCAGTGCACCACTCTTGCCAATCAGCCAATCAGTTGCCCAGTGAGTGGTGTTTTCTGGGTTCAAATGAGGTAACAAGATGTCATAGTCCTGATAAACCACAGAACAAGCCATTCTTTTTGATTGTGGTTTCTGAAAACTAAATGTGCCATGCTGAACACCACGATGGGGTTTGGATGACACCACAGACCAGCAATGGTAAAAATCCAGCATGACTTATTTTGTCATGCAAACCTGCGCAGCCTGTGTGTAAGGGGGCAAGAGGTACTGATATGCTTCCTTCTCATCCCCACCATTGCCTGGACCAGAGCAAGGGAGAGGAGAACAAACAGGTTTCACTGGTGAAGAGGACAGTAACTCCAGGGGGTTCATGCCATTGGGTCCTCAGCAGGTGCTCAACCATACCTTCTCTTGATTCCTGCCCTGCTCCTTGAATATTTCAAGGAAAATGAATGATTAATAAATAAGGAGCATCAAAGAAGTCCCATTAGGGTTGCTTCATATGGAGGCTATTTCAACTTTAGCAGGAAGAAGCTGGGTCTTTTCAGCCTTGAGAAGAGGAGTCTCAGATGGGACCTGTTAGCGACATACAGGTATGTGAAGGGGTGTCACCCAGAGGTGGGTCATGATCTTTTTTCCCCTGTGGTGGAGGGCAAAATGAGTTCCAATGGAGCAAAGCTCAGGAACCAAGATTCAAAGTGGATGCCAGGAAATACTTGTACTTCCTGACAGCTAGGACCCCTAGGGCATGCAGTGGGCTTCCATGGAAGGTGGTTGAGGCCCCATTGGTGAGGATGTTCAAGGATAGGCTGGACATGCGCGTGGTAGGCATGTCATGAGTAGAGCCGGCTGGAGCCGGGGGTCAGACTAGATGGTGTGGGAGACCCCTTCTGACTCACTCTGTTTCTATGTTTAGAAAGTAGATGGACAACATTTATTGCTATTGATTACCAATAATGCTAACATATCTGAATATCATTACATTTAGCTTTATATTGAAAGAAAATGCTCATTTCTTCAAGCCCATTTGAAAGGAAACTATGGAAACTGTGCTATATTTTTTACAATACTTTGAAAAAAACAAGAGAATCGTGGCAAGAATATCAGAAACTTTGAAATACTTTTAATAAAAATCAGTAAATTATTCTGCATATTCTAAGGTGAATATGTCATTTATCTGTTTTTTGCATTCTGAATTTCCCTAACTGAAATACTCATGAAGCTAGATTTTCATTTTCTATATACTTGTGAAATACTTTGTTTTGTTCCAGTGATTCAGGCAAGGATTTTAAGCTGCTATCATATGAAAATGATACTGCACTGAGATGTTAGCATGGTTTCAGAATGCTTTAAGGATTTTAGGCAGGTTCCAAGCCAGCCTTCCACCAGTGCCTCTGGTTTGTTAAAAGTCTGGACAGCACTTCTTGGAAGATCCAATAATGCAGCCTGCTCCTCTTCTATTATATGCCCAATCTTTTGTGCTTTTGCCTCATGGGTTTTCAGACATAACATTTCTAAGGCCAGAAAACTTTTCCATAAAATATGAATTGTACTTGCTGCATGTATATAACTCTTTCATGGCTCAAGTTGGAGCTCTATATATTACTGCATGTAACAATTACACTGGTCACTGGGGTTACGACTAACTGCATGTCAGGGAAACATTCTTTCCTAGTGGTGTCAGAAACAAGCCATCAAGGCTGATGAAATTTTGTCTGGACTACTTTCAGGGTTCCTTTCCTTTTTGATTAAACTGTGCTGAAAGGTGCTGCTGTCGCTGTGGTTTAAATAGGACAATAAATGCATTTGGTATTCAGACTGCAGAGTAACACTAGGCATTTTATGCCAAACTGCCCCAGAATAAAATGTTTGATTTCATTGTACAGGTATCATAAGGGGAATGAACAAAAGTTAGACAAGACATGTTCAAAAAAAAAAAAAAAAAGATACTCAGGTCTGAGTCAAAGGAATGATGGGAAGAGTTAGGTCAAAATGGTTGTATAACCGCTAGAAATTGGCACACCTGTGCAAAGCACTCTGATTCTTAAGTTTGAAAAACTGGTCTGTCTTACATTCAGTCTAAAATTGCAGACATGAAGCAACCATCAGTAAAGCATATGAGACAAACATAAATTCTTACAAAATGATAGTTTTCCTGCCAGAATGAATACTATAAGAGTATTACCCTATATGGAATGAGAAATACCTGATGTCCATGCTGGATTCCAAAAATGAAGAGGGACTCCAGATCATATTGTAAATACATGTTAGCTACTGAAACACACCAAAGAATTCAGTTTATGATTTATAAGAAACAGTCTTTTACTCTGTGGATCATAAGATGCTATGGATGGTCCTTAGTGTGTTTATTTAAATTTTATATACTGCTCCATTTCCATAGGTTCTGGGCGGCTTACAAGAAATTAAAACCAACAGCACTTAAAATTTACTAAAAACAACATATTGAATAAAATGGGTATGAGAACTAATGTGGGAAGGCCTAACAGAAGAGATATGTCTTTAACCCCCTCTTAAAGGTAGCATTCTGGGTTATCAGATGTATCTCCCATGGAAGATTATTCCACAGCATAGGGGCAGCCACTGAGAAAGTCATCTGGGTAGTTGACATTAAGATTATCCCCAGATTACCTTAGCTGGCAAGGCAGAATATATGGGCAAAAGTGATCCTAAAGGTATTTTGGATTCAAGCCAGAAAGATCTTTCACCAGTGCAAAGGCTTTGCAAGAGGGGATATGCGATCGTAATCAAGTGTAAATATGTTTCACTGGAGTCCAAGGCCAAGATAATCCACATTGTTGTATTCCCTGCCACTATACTTGGTTGTGAAAGTTGGACAGAGAAGAAAGCTGGCAGGAAAAAACTGATGCATTGGAAACATGCAGTGGGAGGAGAGCTTTATAATACTCTGGGCTGACAGAAAGATAAAAAGTTCGTCTTCAATCAAATCATGCCAGAACTTTCCCTAGAAGAAAAAAATGATGAAATATGAGGCTATCATACATTGGACACATCATGAGAAGGCAAGACTCACTGAAAAGACAATAATGTTAGAAAAAGTTGACGGCAGAAGAAAAAGAGCAATTATGAGATGGATCGATTCCATAAAGGAAGCTACAGCCTTGAGTTTACAAGAGCTGAACAGGGCTGTCAAAGACAGGATATTTTGAAAGGCTTTCATTCATTGGGTCACCTTAAATCAGAGAATACTTGACAATACATCAGTGGTTTTCAACCTTTCCACAGCTGGGGACCAGCGAAAACAGGACAACCACCTCGAGGACTACTGAGGCAGAAACAAAAAGCTGTCTTTCCCCTTCCCAGTCCCTATGATGGCACTGGC